AAAAAAATAAATGCAAGTATGCAAATCATACTGGTTATTAAAAAGATCAGTTCATTACAACACTTTGTTCAAGCAATTTTTGTTTCTTAAGAAGGTAAAAGAAAAGATAAGAATACGACACTTTATTGAAATCTTCTGTAACAACAATATGAAAGCATTCCGCATAATTCTGTCGAACATTATGTAGGGCCTGATAAATGTTACATTTTGAATTACATTACAACAAATGCTGGAAGTGAGAACCCCCTTCTTGTAGACACAACCTGCCCTTCGCCTTACTGCATTGGCCACATTTTCTAAAACATTTGCACTATTATTAATATCATTTATTTTGTGTGTTATTCTATTCCGTAATTCTTCCAAGTCATTCATGGGTGTTGTATAAATTGAATTTTTTATATGTGGCCACAAGAAGAAGTCACAAGGAGTGAGATCACATGATCTAGGCGGCCAGTTGTTTGGTGTATTGCGACTAATAATCCTATATATTTTCATAAAATTCAGACAAAAAACCTATTGTAGCTCCAGTTGTATGAGCAGTCGCACCGTCCTGCTGAAAGTAACCATACACTAATTCTTCATCATCCAGCTGATTTAAGAATACACTTAAAATTTCGTCACGGTATCTTGCAGCATTTATGTTTCCTGAAATGAAAACATCATTATTTTGTTGATAAAATACTAAAAACCTCTTTACCATAAAAAAAAAATTGGACCAATTATTCTGCGTTGGCTAATTGCAGCCCAAATACCAACTTTCTGGGGATATTGGGGCGACTCAATGAAAAAGTGTGGATTTTCTGAAGTCCACATTCTTGTGTTTTGTGAGTTTACATAGCCACTAAGATGAAAGTATGCTTCATCGGTGAAAAACGTTTCTTCAAGGTGGTCGCCCATATCCAAAGTATTCAGAAACCATTCACAGTATTGAACTCTTTGAGGAAAGTCTGTTGGATGTAATTCATGTACAGATGTGAGACGATAATGTTGTGATAAATGACGAATAGAAGTACCCGGGGTTTCTTCCATTACTTCTCTCGCTTCTTCAATTAGTTCTGGAGTTCGTTTCTTTGGACGGCCACTTCCAGCTTTTCGTGTCACAGATCCATTTTTTTGAAAATTTTTTAAGGAGACATTTAAAGTTTGTCGAAACTGCGTATACTCTACGGCAAAATCAGGGAATTCTTCTCGAAACTCTACCATGCATAATCCAATAGTGAATTCGTGTAGTGAATTCATACCCTTGGGGGAAGAATATCGCCGAGCTATACATTGACGAATTGTAGCTTCAGACCATTTTGGTCGTTTTAAAGAATAACACTGGTCAACAAAATTTAATTTTTTTTTCTCTCTAACTTTGACATAATTGTAATGTTTTCGTTTAATTTGTCTCCGTGTTTGTATTTGTAACAAAGATCACAAATCTTATAACTTAGCTCAATTAAAAAAAAAAGCATATGTGATGTTACAAACAGGTAAAACAATTTAATTTTTGTATCTTTAACGGCAAAAAGTGATGTATTAACAAAAGAACAATTATAATTAAGAAAAAAAACAACGATTATAGTTTAAAAAATGAAAAAAACAAAAGAAACAGCTAAGACCGACGTTTTTTCGGTTGCCTCCTATAGATTTCATTGGACATCTCTCGCTTGATGGTCCCGCAGTATTCTGTGAGCATTTCGGTGTTCCATCGATCTTGGTAACGTTTTTCTATCGACAAAATGCCTAGATGGAAGCGTTTTCCATGTTTGTCACTCACGTCGTCACAATTTTTGGGGAAAAAATCAAGGTGCGAATGCATAAAATGCATTTTTAAGAATATGTTACTTTTTAATTTTTTATATGATGATAACATGTTTCCGAAGAAGTTTGTAGGAATTTGCTAACAAAAAAATACACCTTAGAGAAAGTTTCCTATTACTTAATAGTATGATTTTTGTATTTTTCAAAGGACAATATTTTAAGATTACTTTTAAATGAGAGCTACGTTTTGGTTTAGAGGTTTATAATATTATTTAAAATTGTTAATTAAATAACAATTGACTAGTATTATAAAAGTTAGAGCTTAGCTGTTGACCAGTGTAATCTCTCGCATCATTCTCCAACGTATCCATCAAAGTTTATGTCTTTTTGTGCTCTTTTAGCTGCTGATTACATGAAAATCTCAATTGTTTAAGAACATCTTCGTGCCGTTTTTTTTTTTTTTTGTTTCAAATACATTGTATTCGATAGTGTTAGCTGCTCTTTAAGTTTTTGTATCTTATAATAATAATAATAATAATATATTTCCAACAGACAAAAATGTCCATAAATGGAACAGAAAACTGACATACATGTATATTGTATACGAGCATAAACAAATATACTTAAACCTACTAAATACACTAATACTAACAAGTAAACAAAGACAGCAATGTACCCTTTGCACCCCTCCCAGAAAAATTATGACACAAAATATCCAAGTGTTTCGATGCAACACCATTATATAACCTTAAAGTTATCAATAGCGGACCGGTGAAGTGATGATGTGTGCTACGTATTTTATAATAAAAAAGAACATTTGTTCTACTCTGCAATCTTGGAACACTAAAGTTTATGCCTTGAATTAAGCTAGGACATAATATGCTGCCATTTATTTTTTTCTGCAAAAAAATTAAAGACGCAACATTCCTCCTTGTAGTAAGAGACTTCATCAACTAATTTTAATAATAAATTATAATCACAATGACGTTGTGGGTAAACCTTAAACATTTTATAACGGAGATATTTGCAAAATTTACGTAATACACTTTCCAGTACTTTTATATGTATTTGTTGAGATGGATTCCATATTACACTACGATACTCTAACTTAACTTCTAATTCTCATCCAGCAAAATAATTTTATTCAATTTTGACATGTAAACAAACGTTTATTTTGCCGTCAGTAGGCCACTAAAGCTTTGGTTTATCCGGTAGCACCATAAAATTTTTAAACCGCTAGCGAAATAAAATTTTTATTTTGCTGTTTTAAAACCATGGTTACCATTTCTGTAATTTCTCCAGTGTCTTGCTGCTCTTTCCATCTAAGGAACTTTTGATACACTTTCTGATTTCGTCTTTTCTGGGAGCAAGTTTTGTCGTTAGAATCTTGCATGATTTTGCAATTTTTCGATCATTTTAGTTTGTTTAAAATAAACAAACACCGTCGCCAGAGTCACATACTACACACACACACCTGATATTGTACACTAAATTCTACGCATATAAAACTTTTATTTGGTCGCTGTCAATTCTGACGTTTCTCGAGTCTGAACTTTGAATCACCAATTTTTTCACAATTTGGGACTTGGGGTTGTCAAAATTGAATAAAATTTTGTATTACACTCGCGGTTAAAATGAATGTGTAACTCGCGGTCTTAAGGCGCTCGCGGCATACGCCGCTCTCGCCCTAAACTGACCGCTCATTAAACATTCACTTTAACCGCTTGTATAATAGATAACTATTATTACACACATGTTCATTTACTTCCATTATTGAATTATTGGAAGGCCACCTACAGTTAACGTACATAACATAATACATAACTAATACTTCAATATATTAATTGATGCGAAAACAGTACCAATTTTGTGTACACAGAAGTGCCTTGAGCAAGATATGAGTCTTTTCCTCAAATTAAACATTCTTATTCGCATTTAGGCATTAATTATTTGTTTAATAAGAATATATAAATGGCCTTCATCGATGGTCTCCGTCTCGAGTGCGTGGTCCTCTAAATTAGGAAAACGAGTGTTGGCAGCGCTATAGAATTTCTGCGCACAAGCTATGCCAAAAGTTTTAAAAAATTGTTCATCGTTTTGAAGTTTATTATCGGTGAGTTGCAAAATCTTTCGTATTTGCAAATCACAGTAACAACAAATCTTACAGCAGAAGGTTTAATAAGCCCACCTAAAATCAAAATTAAATATCGTAAAATGTGACGCTGGTCCGTTACACTTAACGGAGGTAACAACATTTATGTTGTGTAGACGAATGAGACACTCCCTGACAATATTGGCTTTTTGTTGACCGGTTAATGTTTTAATTAAGAAATATGCAACTGGAATTTTCCAGTCTGCATTTTGTGATACCACCATGACAACGAGCTTCAGTGGCCAGTTCTAAAGAATCACTGTCAAATGCAATTCCATAGTCAATGTAGCCCCAAGTCTTCTCCCCATCGAAATCCAACTGTTTTCGTACAGCCATTTCGTCTAACATTAAGGAACAAATAACTTCCCTACCATTTTCAGGAGCTTCGGTCACCTTACGTTTTATAGTGTCAAAAGCGGTGTCCCAAAAACCGGGGTCACAATTTACATTACAGAACCATTGTTGCTTGATGGGGTAACGCCAAAGCATAAGTTTTCCTCATATACTCATATGCTTTGTTAGAGTAAAACCGTAAAGTAGCTGCAAATTGCCGAAGACGAGGCGTTGTTTTACCACGCTGTAATTTTTTTTAAATATCTCCTTATTAATAAATGGGGACATTGTCATAAGCCAGTTCCAAATGGTCTAAAGCATTGTTACCAACATCTGAGTTGTTCTTCAGATCATTTATGATTGTTGCCATTGTCAATACTTTTGTTTCCAGTTTCTGTATCGTCTTCTTACTGACATATAATTGGTGCGAGTAGATGATTGCTTCCCCTGCAATGAAACGTACTTCGCTTTGATTTTTCTTGGAGATATACTACAATTAACATTATGTAAATGAAAATAGTCATTAATCATAGTACTAAGTTGTTTATAAGAGAATATTATAAATAGAAAATAATTATAGAGATACTATATAATTGCGTTTTATCTGTGTACAAGAAATGAATTTACGTGTAACTGTGTATGTTTTTAATAAATTATATTCTTCTTCTTTTACTTTCACTTGTACTGCTACTGCATTTTCCATGGTATCTTTGCGCAGCACTAAATAATAATTATTAACACTAGTAAAAAATTCAATATAATAAAATATTCAAACCCTAATTTCCTCTTTACACCTTGAGGTATAATCGATGGAGACTCTTCTGAAATATCAGCTAAAGTAGCGTTCACAGTACTCATTGAAATTGAAGAAGCTTCTACACTTTCATCTAAATTCACCCTGGGAATTGCGTTCGATTTCAATCGTTTTTTCTCATTTACAACAATGAAATCATTTGTTGTGAAATAATCTGAGCACACCAGCTTATACTTAGTCAGTTTGAAGCTTTCATCTTTTTTCACAACAATCAGCTACTTTTTTAAATGTTCTCGAGCTGTCGGAAACCTAAAATCAGATATAATAAATATTGATCGCATAGTATTGCAATAACCAATTGTTATTAATTATAAATACGTATTCTGAACGAAACTGTTGACAATTTTTACAGTGAGAAACTGTACAAGACATGTTTGTTGTCAATGATAATGTCCTTTAACACAAAGTGCTCATTTACAATGGGCATAAAGCATAAGGATGTCCTAAGCATTAATGCATAAAAATTTATGTTTAGTGCTTTATGCTTGTATTCGTTCACAATGAGCATAATGTGTTATGCTTTATGCCCATTCTGAATGAGCACTTATGCTCATTGTGAACGAATACAAGCATAGAGCACTATCGAGGAGGGTAAAATAAGAACGGAGGGATAGTACGGTCGAAAAATGTGGCACCGACCGTCCGAAATCTAGACACCGTTTACGACGGTGTTTGGAATACGCGCTCGGCTAAACCACGCCCCCAGTTTCGAGAGAATCGCTAAACAGTGGCGGGCAGTTACTCAAGTTATACATTTATTACTTACTTATGAAAACTTAGTCTGTCTTTCACAGATTGTTTACTTCCATTCCACGACTTACAAAGTTTGCAGTTCACCATGTTGAATTTATTAAAAAAAAACGGCTCAAAGTATAAAGATACACAGCACGTGATGGAACAAAATAACTGAGATGTACGCCTATGGAGTACGATGGGCTTTTCTCGAGGTTTGTAGCCAGCTCGCACATGCGCACAGTCGACAGACCGATCGTAAACGGTGTTTGCGGTAGTTGATTTTGGGCCAAAACCGTACCATTGAAAGCATACGACATGCTCCCTCCGTTCTTATTCCACCGTCCTCGAGCACTATACATAAATTTTTATGCATTAATGTTTAGGACATCCTTATGCTTTATGCCCATTGTGAATGAGTGCTAACAAGCACGTACACACATACACTAACGGTAAAATAAATTAAGTAATACTTTTAACTCCAAATTACAACTGGTTCAACAACGTGGTAATTACCAGGTAAACACAACGTTAAGGTTAACTGATAAAATGGCGATCACCACAATGTACATATGCGCAGAAGTCTAAGCTCATTTTTCCTCTCCATATCTCTGGTTGCATTTTGTGAACTGTAAAATCCAATTCATTGAATACTGCTGATTGCATACCTCTTTTCATATTGAAGCCTTCGGGTGAGATTCATAGTCGTTACTTGAGACAAACTCATACTCAGCTCGAACTTGACTAATTAATTTCACATTTATAAAGATTTCTCAACTGTCACTTTGTTGCTCTGTCATTTAAGGCGAAACCGGACGACCAAGTGTGCGAGAGAGACAAAACATACCGAAATTTATTTCACTGTTCATTTAAACAATATTTGGTATAAAAATTATTTTAAATGATATTCGTTTATAGTTATATCTTAGAAAAAGATATAACGTTTAATTTTTTTTAATATATGATTTTTTTTTTAAGTAATAAACATAAATTTTGGAATTTTCAAAAAATTAAAACTTTCATTAGCCGGCCCTAATACTACAATGTCTACTAAATTTGTTAACAACATTTCCACTTACATATTTCTAATAATAAAGTACGAAACAGTAAAATACCATAGCCTTTTGCAGGCGCCGCCAACTAGTTTATAAGCACGCGACTTACATCTGTAGAGAGGATGACGTCATTCTTTTGGAGCTGCAATACTTTTAGATATGATAGATAAAAATATCTTTTGATATTTTAAAATAAAAAATAGTCTAAAACAATATATTTTTATTTGGTTCTCTTAAAGGCATATTTCTACACTTTCGGGGATCTACCAGTTCTGGCAGTAATGCTTCATCATAAAAATATTTTAATTTAGGGAACATTTTATTTTGCCAAAAGTTGTCATCTTTAAATATACGTTCAACGTACAAATCTTTCCTTGTCCATACAACAAAATCACAAAACTCACGATTACTGATATGCAATTGCCCTTGGACTTGATAAAAGTAGTCGTGAGTTCTTTTTAGACAGCCTTGTTTTTTGTCTATGTAAAACTGCTTTAAAGTTTTAGAAGCCTCCTCTACAGTTAAATTTTCAGCACTCTTTGGACACTTAACTTCAAGGATTCCATTTTCTCCAATGAGACCATCCGGAGAAGCAGCTAGGAAACCATTTTCCAAATCAACAAAGAGGCCGCATTCAACTACAACATTTTTTGTTTTTTCTTGGTAAGCGGTTATCGCCGTTTTTTCATTCAATATTCCATAATTAATGGCTGGACAATTTATTAAACTTTTATAACAAATTTGTTCTACCAACTTGGCCCAACTACTAGATTTTCTGCGTTTTACCACCGAGCCAAAGAGTGATGCAGTTAATCTGTTTTTCCTTTGGTTAAACCATTCCTCATTTTCTCGTTGTCCTCTGGTAGTTTCTTCAATCTTGTCTTGTTCTTCCTTGCACGATATGGCTATATTTTTGAGAAATTGTTCTTTTTCTTTTTTAAATTCTTCTTCATCCAAATCTAGTTTATGGCACGATTCTCCATAATCTTTACAACCGTCATTGTTATTTTTTACTTTTCGTCTAGGTTTTCCTGAATTAAATAGCGATCTTCTGGTGTTACTTTGTTTTTTTAAGCGTTTCTCCCCAAGCCGTTTCACCAAGCAAGAAGGACTTTTCCCAATAACTTTTTTCATACTATTATAGTGCCACATAGGACCATATTGGAAATCAAGACCTGCACTTCGAGCTCGTATAGTATAGGCTCCTCTTTTCCCACGATCAATTTGTTTTCCACCAACAAACTTTGCCACAAGTGACATAAAGTTTTCAGCCAAATTGCTGGTATCATTAGTAACAAGCCGTGGTGCTTTTCGTAACAAGGGCTTAAGACATTCGTGCACATAATTATATGCAGCAAGTTCATTATCTGTTAAAACCTTTTCACTTTTGTCTGAATGACAAAAATAATTTTTACAATTTTTGTGAATGCCGAATACATGGGCTGGTCCGTTTCTCAAATCCTCTTTTAATATTTCAGGATTCTGATTCTCTTTTGAATTATGAATTATAGCACATCTTGCCCCTATCTTCAGACGTCTGACCACTCCTGGCGTAAGCACTGACCTAATAATTTTAGAAACGCCTTGTACTTTGCAAAGTGCTTTGGTATAGTTTTTTATAGCATGGTTTGCACATTCCAGTTTTTCAATATTTCGTCCATATGAAACTTTCTCATAAAGTCGTGCGAATACACTTGAATCACCATCTCCAATAAAACGTCTATATTCCAAACCATGCAAAGTTTTACTTTGTCGAAAAGCTTGTACTAACATATCGGCTTCCATAGCAGCAGAACTTCCATTCCAATTTTTGAAACAATTTTCGTGTCCTTCAGTCATATTTTGTTTTTTTCGGTAGAGACACATAGCGCAATATTTATTACGTACGTCTAAATGCAAAAGTTTTTTGGTGCGTTTGCCTATGACACACGCCACCCCCGAGTTGGCAGTGTATCTGTGCCCGTGGCTGCGGTGAGACCATCCGCCATCGACTATAACGGTGATGAAAGGTGTTCCATCTGAAGTTACATCACCGCTTTCAATAGCCAATCTTTTTTCTTCTTCTCCTGTCTCCATCATAGATTCGAACAGAATTTCATGCCAAACCTTTAGAACAATAACAAGTACAAAGACTTTAGCCATCAATCATTCTTTTCATATATTACTTACTTTACCCAAATTCATTTCTATTTTGGAAAATGTTTTCTGGTCTATAGTTTTAACTCCTATAGTTGAAAAAATTTCTTCCATTTGAAAATGTCCGTTCCCTGTTGAGATTGTACCCCAGACGGCACTTTCACTCAATGATAGTTGACGTGTGGTGGTAATTTTTTGAAAGGTGCTTGTTTGAGGCATACATTGCTTGTTCTCTTTTGCGTCATCATGAGTACTTGGAGTTGCTGTTGGAGGTTCACTTGCAACAGTTTTAGTAATTTTGCAGTATGGACATTGGAATTGTAAAAGCCATATTAAATTTTTACAACTAGACTTTAGCAATTTGAAATAACCGTCCGAACTCCTTAAGCATTCATGACGATGATATTCCAGTTTTCGTAATTCCTTCAAAAAATGTTTACCGTCAACTACAAATCTACCACATATATCATTAATGAGGGGATCATTTCCAGGATTTGGTGGTATTTGTTCGACAACCATATTTTCTAAATCAGTGATAGGTTCCCTTAAAAATAAAAATAAGGATTGCACACATTTGTTATTATGTATAGTAAATAATTATTACTCATGCTGAATGATTGTTTGATTCGGTGGTGACTCTTCGTCTGGTTCATCAAATTCATATATATTACTCGTGACCAAAGTATCTCTAGGAGAAATAGTTTTGCATAAAATTACTTCAAATTAAAAAAAAGTAGTATTAATAATAATGCTCGTTACCTTGCGTTCGCATATTGCTGATCGTTAGACAAAGGAACATCTTCACATGTTTTGTTTGTTTTATAAGTTGACCTGGAAATCGTCAAATTTCAAAATATTCTGTGTAAATACGAGTAGATAATATGTAGTTAAAATTAAGTGTGCACCTTTTAATATTCCAATTCAGGAGTCCAATGTTCACTACTCGTTTTTTTCTCTTTGAAGATAAAGTAAGTTGTCTTTGATTCCTGCGATTTTCATTCCCTGTTTCATATCTATTTACAAAACTTACGTTGTTAGTAATCGTCAAAATACAAACTAATTATAAAGAATTAATTAATTTCAATTATTCAACATACGTAGTATCTTCTGTTACTGAACTTTCCCCTTCTGCGTGCGAGGTAGGTACATTGTTGTTACCTTCTGAGGCCAGAGAACTATAAAAATGGTACAAACATTTCAAGACTAGTAGATATTTTAAACATTATCAATAAATATTTACCTTGTAGATTGGTTGGTATTTTTCTCGGTGTTTGAATCTTCTTTCCTTTTTTTGCTATAGACACGAAAATTTGGAAAATTAAAATATAGAATATCATAACTCTATTTTTACTAAGTCTTTACTTACATTAATTGTATAAGTGTATTTATTTTCGCAGTAGACCTTTTTCTTTTTCTACTAAGTCGTAAATGATTTTTACCCTTAGTAGAGTATCTGTAGTCCATCTTCCTACAATTGTAATAGTGAGTAAACGTATAAAACTTTTTTATTAGACGATTCACATACTTCAAATTAAAGTCATTTCCATACATTTGCCATTATGATTCTTATTATACTTGTACTTACATGTAAGTAACTATTCTAAATTCGTACGTTTTATGTTGCTATGTATTTTTATTTAATATGATAATGTACCGGTAGTATTCTTATTAAATTTGCCAATTGAAAAATTGTTTAGATTTGTGGTGGAATTTATAAATTTGTTTTTTTCTTCGAATAACGAACGAAATAAAAGAAGGAAAAGGTACGTCCGTAACCACTTTTTAATTATTTGGTATCTATATAGGTTAAGCAATAGTTACTTAGTTTACTTACCTGAGTTTTATATAAATAAAAAATTAAGCAATTTTGCACCACGGCTGCACCACAACACAACGGCTTACAAAAATTGGAAAATGAATATCTTATCCTAAATGAACAAGATCGGGTTTCTACTTCCACGAAATTCGTCTGGTGGCAGTTTTCTTGAAGTTGTGATGGGAGAGGGGGAAACAAATTAACTGCTTCCGTGAGAGTATATCGGGCGGCGCAACATCAAAGAAAAATGTATTTTTCTGTTTATGTTATTATTATTGGTTATAATTATTAAATAAATTTATATTTACGTTCTGTGGAGAATGCTTTATTTATGCTGGCTACCAGATTTTTTTAAATTATCACAATGTGTCGGTAAGTATGTGTATTTCAAAAAATAAAACAATTTAAAAAAAAATTGAACGTTGTATCTATTTCTATGTATTTATTTTGGCTAATGTGTCCAAAATATTTTACTAAAATTCATTACTTTTTGTAAAAATCGTGAAATAAATTCCGCGCCATCTATTGAGTTTTTGCTAGTACTAAATCGTCTCCGGTTTCGCCTTAAGTTTTGAGTTTTAATGGCTTGTTGACTTAAAATTTCTTTCGCTTTTTGCAGTCGAACTTCTGTTTCCTTTGCTCACTGACTTTAAGTTAAGGGACAACTAGGAATGCAATAATAATTTTGACTCAAACTTAACCTCGCATTCAACTCAAGTTAGTTGAGTTTGAGTGGAGGATGAGTTACAACTATGCATCTCACCCTATTCGTCTCCAATAATGCAGTGCACTTGTTCTTCTGAAATATTCCATTCAGTAAGAATCGTGTCAATTTTTTGAGCAATTATGTCGCCTGTGTGGTCGTTGAATGGCTCGCATTTCAATATAATTAGTGACTGATCAAAGTTTTCTGCGATTCCATGACAAATCTTGGCTAAGCAAAGATGCATTGGAGCTTGGATCCGACCAAATATCAGAAGTAAACGCCATGTAATCAAATTTTTCGATCAATTCTTTAACTTTGTTAGCAACTGTGCCATACAGTTCCGTGCTCACAAAATCAGTTAAAAAATTGCGCGCTCTTAAATTATATCTTGGTGATAATTCTTGTGACAACCGCGACTAAACACGCGACTGATTTTTGATTTACGACAAAAACAATTCTGAACTTATCAAGATCTTGTCTCTTGCGAGTGCGAGACACAACACCGGAAGCAAAATTCTTCTCTCCCTATTGGTGAATCATCACCAGTGTTGGCGTGTTAGAGGACTCGGGCCTTCGGCCCTCTTGCTATAATCTCCACGCTGCAGGCCAAAAACGCCTTACATACGTCCTTGATACATAAATAACTATTATTAAATACTTAATTGATAACAATAGTTATAATCCGAAGTGATGTTGTTTACAGAAGATCATTTTAACTTAATTAACATTCTTTTTCTTTGTAGCTTTACTTGGTAATATTGTCTCTGGTCCGTAATGTTTTTTTTTGCTCTAATAAAACTAATCTTTACAGTTGATTAGAAGTTAAATGTGATGTTGCACTGCTTTCATCTGACGAGACAATGTCTAATTTAGTTTTTTTTTAGAGGAAGAGGATGATTCATATTTTCAGTGCTGGAATTTATCGCAAAATTGTCTTCTGTCAACATTGTTGCACTCGCTGTTGTTGAAGTTAATGGCGTGTCAATAACTCCTTGGGCACCAGGAATCTCATTGAGAGTGGAATTTTCGTGTCCTTTCATAACCTCGTCCAGAATTTTTTCGGGTTCCTTTAGTATAGGTTTTCATATTATTGACCATTTTCATTAGACTTTTTTCTGTATTTTGTTCTACTAAATTTAGCAGTTCTTCCAATGCCCGATTTTTTTAACTTTTATCTGAGGGAGTTGCTTTCTTGAAATGAGCTCTGCTTTTCTTCTAATACATTTTACCATGATGAGTTTTGTGTATCCGTTGGTTTCGGATCATCCACTTTCTGACATGATCTTTTAGAAATCCTCCATGAAATACCCCAATGTCAAAATATGGAATGTAAACTGTTTCCTTGTTTATGCTGTTTCCTAGATACTAGGTAGAAAGCTGAGTATTAGGTCTTATGACTCTAGAGCAAATTATTTGATCAAAAGTAATTTCTTGTTCATGTTGTTTGAAACAAACGCTTACATTCAAACCATAAACTAGTGGAGCATTTGCTTTTACTTCTTGCTGCTGTTCGATAGTATTTGCTCAGTTTTTGCTTATACGGCCCCAGTTGTAAATAAATGTGACTTAAGAAGAGCTATTATTCATGAACAATATTCGATATTCGTGAACCAAAACATGTGAGGACAATGGGCTGTGTGAACAATGAGAAGTAAGTGGTCATGCTTTTATTTTATGAAGCAGTTGCGTTTAATTATATGAAAAAAAAAAATGAGGCAAAAGGTGCTGCTCTTTGCAAAAATTTTGAATTTTGAAAAATTTTCTTGAATAAGTGTAAACAATTGCTCCCAATTGTGAGTAACTGCTCAAAGAAAACTGCATCCGATCATATGCGTCAGTAATGACTGCACTTTTATGTCCTAGAACCAAAAAACTGTGTACAAACTACTAAACAACTGTTTGGATTGTGTTTATAAGACCTTCTCCCGATTTGAAAAAGAAAATCGCGTTCTGGAGGACCAAAAACTGTCGTCATACCTGAAATCATTAACATAGTTCATAATAGGGTTTTGACTGATAAATGAAGGACGTTGCGTGAATTAACCGAAGCTGGAGGTATCTCAACTAAGAGTTCATTTTATCAATCTTCAACGCAGTAGTGCAGAAATTAGCTCTGTTAACTAGTTCCTGACTTTTTTAAGATTATTTTACACTGCATAAGACCCAATGCCAATAATATCCGCTGGACACTACTATCATAAAGTGGGATTTATAAACTTGCTGTTGACGTTGAAGTTGCCGTTGCAGTTGCTGTTCCCGCTGACGCTGCTGCTAGAGCTGAAAATTGTCATTTATAAACTCCGTTGCTTGTTGCCGTTGCCATAGGCCGTAGCTGTCAAATCCAAATGTGAGGTTACGTTTTCACGTCAATATTGCGTGCTTTCGAACGAGTTTTGTTTTTTTAGTTAGTGAAATGAAGCCAACCAAGATGCGACAAAAGTATTTATTAGGTTCTCTCGGCTATCTTTTGTGTGTTTACGTAGCAATTAAAATTAAAATGACTGAAGAATATAAAAACTAAGTATAAAATAGAAACCAAATTTTAACACGACTACACCACCAAAACGAACGAAAAAAAATAACACTTATGGTATTTAAAATATGAGGGTTTCGGTGAACAAGTGATTAGATGGTTTAATATTAGTGGGCCTCACTATCTCTACCAATTTGATTTGATTTTCGTGGAATTAGTGCTGTCAACCAGAAAAATGTCCCGCCTACTTCAGAAAATTTTCCTTCAAGTTGACAGCACACTACCTCAATTTGATTGGTTGAAAGCCCAACGTCAACGGCAACGTAACGGCGAAAGATAAAAGTTGGTCATCTAGAACGTCATCCCAATGGCGTGCCAAGTTTCAACGGCAACGTCAACGGATACGCAAAAAAATTATCGCACCACATGCAAATTTGCACATATTTTATATGTATAAGAAAGAATAACACTTAACCTTTGCAAATATTTTCAATTTTACCACTAACAAACGCATATGTTGGCACAAGAAATGTTTTTTATTTTTATTTAAATAAATTAATGAAAATTGCACAATAAGGTAGGTATGAACTTTGAGTACAGGTGTTTATTACAAATTATTATTTGGATTATAAAAACTGTATAGTAGGGAAAAATGTGTTTCTCTAAGTATTTATTGCTAAGAATGACGTTCGATTTTGCGGTCTTCTTCTGATCCTTCCACTTATCTTCATCAAACTCCAATTTTGCCCTTTTATATGAAAGTTCCTCCTACATTTTTAGGTTATCAAAGTGTTGTTGTTCTCGAAACTCCAACTCTGCTTTTATTGCTGTTCTTGTTTCATTTTTTCAGTCAAGTATACAAACACTCCATCATTCTTTGTCTGTGTTCTCCTTTTCTGAGCTTTTGCTGTATGCTTTCTTTGTCTCACATTTTCATTATCATCGTTTGCAACGCTAGTACCACAGCGAGCATAACTGTGCATGCCATACCTGCTTCACACATACTCTTTGAGCACCGAATCGACGATGTAGCTGAATCATTTTCAATTTCATAAATAATTTCAGTACCTATCCTCTGCATTTTCCTCTATTATTTGGAGAGCGGCTGTGCGAATAGCGTGGGCTGTAGCCGCATCTGTTTTGTGCTGTGCAATTTCCTTTCTCGGTCGACCAGTTTCAGAAGATTTTTTTCAGAATCAATTTTTACAATACGTTTGTAGTTGCACCAAACCGTCAATAGTAATTTTACAGTATTACCCCCACTGTGTTTGCATTCGCTCCTTGCCGCTTTCCGAAGCTTCTTCAGAGTCATATTTTCGACATTGCGAGACCTGCTGCAACATATGGTCTTTCAGTAACCTTAAACTACACATTTCGAACCTACAATCTAACCTTCTTATAGTTTGATTTGGATCTATTACTTCACGCTGTAAGTACTTTGGGTTATTATGACATAAAACGGTGTGGAGATTAGCCCACACCTGGTCCTCCGTGGTAATCAGATCTTTGCATACAATGTTGAACAGTTCAGTTAAAGCTGTAACTCTTTTTGCTTCTGAAAACCTAAATCGCGTTTTTTTCGCATTCATACCACCGTTGTGTTGGCGTTTTTCTCAATTCAAAAACGTAATCATATGTTACAAGCGATATTCGTGGTGTGAAAACCGATTCCCCCGGGCACAGCCAGTGAACACAATAGCCTTGATCACGTTTTTGTGGAGTGCTGTTACTCTTAGGGGCCAATTCCAAGTTGGTGGCGCAAGTCACTGGTGCAGCGCAACTTTATAATGCTAATTTGGGTATCAAATGCTGGTTGCTAGGGGTGACGGAATAAACAAGCGCAATTTTTCGAGATAAATTGCGCCAACTTGCACTGCCTACTAGAGGTGCCGCAACTCCATGGTGCAAATTTCAATGGAAAATTCGACACAACTGCGTTTGTTGATTCCGTCACCCCTAGCAACCAGCATTTGATACCCAAATTAGCATTACAAAGTTGCGCTGCACCAGTGACTTGCGCCACCAACTTGGAATTGGCCCCTGAGTCTAGTTCCGTTACACAGCTTAGGCGGGTTAAGGTTGCGTAATAACATGACAGGTGCACCAATCTTCAGGAGAAGTTTATTAGAAGGAAAACCAGGTGGATTGACACTATTAAGGAATTCCACAGGATAATGAACTGCTTCATCTATTTGCAAAACTGAGTAAGCAGACCTATATTCCATTTCAGATCCTTCAAACGATTTAAGTAAGATGTCATTTATGACCGCAACACTGTTGTTTTTGGGAGTCAGTACGGCATGTTCACACAGCCAGTCCATAGTGGCGGACATATGTCAAAGCGTCTTGAGTACGTTCATGCATGTAACGTGCGCTGCCCACGTGATATAAGTAAGGTTTTTCAACTCCATTCATAAATTTTCATAAAACGGGCGCTTAAAAACTGGTATCGTAGTAGGTTCTGGGGGCTAAAGTCACTAGATAGATTAAGTACCCCAATGCTCCTCCATTTTGGGGCAAAAAAGCGGTAAATTTAAATGTTATTTATCTGAAATCTGAATTTTTCAAGGAATGCAAAAATATTTAGCCAAGAGGGCTATATACTTCGGCATATAGTGAAAATAACAGACATCAACATATTATATTATGGGAGGTAAATGCTGAGAAGGTAATTATTTTTTAAACAAACAAAAATTGGAAATTTCCAAAGTTACCAGGTTTTGGGAGAACAAGAATATAAAAAGGGCTGGGAGATACGTAATGCAACTAACAATAAACTAATTATTATTTATTTTTTACAAGATTACGCATAGCTACACTTCTGCTGCTCATCGAGTCACCCATTTTGGTAAACTCCTTCGCCATATTTTTGAGCAAAAAGTATAACCTACTTTTTATGTACAATTGAACAATTTTTTCCAGAATATTATGGCACAATGGAATATCTTCTAACAAAGGGTACTTTGTACAAACTATCGTGAAAAAATTGCTAATACTAAGATTATTTTTTATCATATCATTTTGAAATAATCTAAATTCTATTTCTACATTATATATGTAATTACATACAGCTTCACAGGGATACACTAAATTATTATTTTCTTTGTATTCCTTGAATTTCGTAAACATATTCAGTTCCGTAACATCACTAGAATTCGTGATGACACTGGAAAGGCACGCCTCGCAGGTCTTGCGGTTGCATTTCATTTTAAAAATAATGTAAATGTGTACAGGATCAGCAGTAACAAATAATTAATCTTTCACCTGTTATATGGGGATGTGCGATAGAATCTATCTAGTGACTTTACTGGGAGCTTAAGATGACCGCCACCATGTGGTAGTTAATTGTACTATTTGCAGTATCGACTGACGTTTGACATGACATTTGACGTATATTTCCCCCCATCTTTCAAAAAGACGTCACAAAACCTAACCTATAAAGCTGACATTTGTGACAACTTGCATTCAAGGACATTTTTACGTAAATTTCATTCATTATTGTGGACAGTTTCATCATAGTATCCAGTAGACGGCGCTAGGATCTTTCAGCTCCCGTGGCCTTCTGGGATCTCTTCGAAAAAAGACCGTTTTAAACTCGGAGTTCGCAGACCTGTTATATACGGCCGTGGCGCTGCCTGTAAAAGATGATGGCAGTACTACCATCTGGCCAAGCTGAGTAGCATCGCCATCTAATCTCCCAACGGTGCCTTTGTGATGTATGTAATTATCTACTCTTAGCTGCGGCTGGTTATTTCTTTTGTAGTTTAGTCTTTCAGTTTCAATTTTAGCGTACATGTCAACCAAATATTGGCTGAATGGAGTTACAATAGATCAGATGATTGTCTTCTTCTTGCCTAACCATTATACGGTAAGAGTAAAAGCTTTCAGCGGAAACGGTCCTTTTCAGAGGTAATTTAGTCTCAGGGGCCAACTCCAAGTCAGACTTGCACCCGGGGCAACTCGGCGCAAGTCGGTGTCGCTATGGTGACGGCGCAAAACAGTTTGCCCGTAATTCCAACTAAAATTTTGCGGTCTAGTTGCACCCGTGCATCTCAGATTTACCGGTGCAACTTCATATGTCACCATCGAGTTGCGGCACCTTTAGTAGGCAGTGCAAGTTGGCGCAATTTATCTCGAAAAATTGCGTTTGTTTATTCCGTCACCCCTAGCAACCAGCATTTGATACCCAAATTAGCATTATAAAGTTGCGCTGCACCAGTGACTTGTGCCACCAACTTGGAATTGGCCTCTTATCAATCAACCGTGAATATCGGTGAATACTACCTTGAATTTTGAATAATTTGTACTCCCTCCGTTCCAAAATAAGTGTCCGATTTAGGATTTTTTATTTGTTCCAAAATAAGTGTCCACTTTTAAAAAATAATTACAAAGGGATATTTAACGTGTATTTTTGCAAATAAAAAATATCGTAACATGAAAAATCATTAGAAAATTAATACTTATGAGCTTATGACTAACATTTAGCAGATTTGTAACTTTGCGCAACAATGTCCCCTGCGAACGGAGTTTGTTCTTACTCATGTGAGGGAGTTTATAGTCGTTGCCTCCTTTATGAAGCATGGTCAATTCCATACACTTCTGCAATGTAATGAAAACATTGTCTAGTTTCTCCACCGTCATTTCATCCCATGCTTTATACACGGTCGGAATAAGTTCATCAATATTAGTCGGGGATTCATGTTGTAATGATTGAATTGCATTGAAAAAACCCAAGTCTAAGACATTGAAATCCGGGCTGTTTAGTGGCTGACAAATCATTTTTTTATTCCATCCATTTTCAGATCCGGCGCGAACAACTTCTTCATCATCTACACTGCAATGTGGCCTAGCATTGTCTTGTTGACTTTTGATCGGCATTGTTTTACTGCCACGAGGCCATTTTTCTTTTATGGCGGGAATTAGTTTTTCGGTAATTGTTCGAACATAAACTTCGTGTGTAACTTCGACGGGTTTCGTTACTAACGTTCCACGTTGACGATTTTTGGAGTTCCTTTTCGCTGGTTCTTGCACCGCAAATGGCCAAATACCAATGTTCACCGGATGTTGATTATGTATTAGATTATTGAAAAATAACCAAGGAATTGGTTAAAAGTGATTACGGTAATTCTTGGTTAAGTTATTATTTTATGCATATTTACTTTGACTTGCAATGTCATTTTTAATATCATACTTGGTATGCTTAAGCATCGTAAACCTTGGAAGCACGAATCACCCAAGGTGGTCAAAGCTACTTCCAGAGGAGGGAAATATTATTTTTATGCATTTTTGAGTAGTCATTGGAAATATCTAGATTATTGAAGAAATGCAGAATTGGTTCTAATATAATAGTATCAGAGGTTACAGTAGTCTGAATCAAATTAGTTTGTGGATTTTTTGGGGGCAAAATGGATTTTAATGTGCTTTTGGTGATAAGAGCAAATAGGGGTCTATTCTGTAACCGTCCCGTTAAAATTTAGAGGCCTTTAAAATTTTAGCGGCCCTTAAAATTGATTTGGTATTCACCAACTTCAAAACCTGTTAAAATTTAACAGATTCCTTTAAAATCGCCCTCTAAAATGAAAAATTTTAGAGGGGTCGGAACAATCACCTTTAAATTTTAGCGGCCATAAGTTTTTGACGTTTAGCGTATTCGAAATTTTTATATTTAGTAAAAAACACCTTTAAAACGCTCATAAAATGGCTTTTTTCGATATTGCCGGCGAAATATTGGTGGATGAATTTATTGAAGATGAGGAAAGGTAAATAATTATATTTTTGCATAAATATCTACATTATTATACTCCTATTTGGTTTCAAAATTCTACAGAGCTGAAGTTAGGCTTCATCAGAGATTAATTAGAGATATGAATAATCCATTCCAACTTCCTAACAAAACATTCAAAACAATCTTCCGATTTAATAAAGATGTCACAAGAGTAATAATTGATATGATTAGACCTTATCTACAGCAAGGACCAAGAATTACAGCTGTACCACTAGAATTGAAGTTCCTTGCAAGCCTCCACTTTTATGCTACTGGCGGGTATCAACTAACTAGTGCCCATGATTATAATTTTGCAATAAGCCAACCTACAATGAGTGGCTGCTTGGATCAAGTGACAAATGTGATTTACGACCATTTACTACCTAATTGGATAAAATTTCCCCAAACTCAAAATGCAAAGAATAAAGTTGTAGAAGGGTTCATGGACAAATTTAACATGCCAAGATGTTTGGGTGTTATTGATTGCACCCATATTGCAATTATATCACCACTAGAAAATTATCCAGCACTGCCATACTTCTGTAGGAAAGGATATTATAGTATAAATTGCCAAATAATTGTGGACAGCGATTATAATATATTAAACATGAACGCTCGCTTCCCTGGTTCTACTCACGATTCAGCTATATGGCAAGCTTCACATGTCAAAGCTATTATGGAAAATCAGTATATTCAAGGCTCTAATTTATTTATAATTGGAGACTCTGGATACCCTTTACAGCCCTTTCTATTAACTCCATTTGAAAATGCTCCAGAAAACACACCTGAAAGTAATTATAATCACCACCTTGTAAGAACTAGAAATATTATTGAAAAATTGAATGGAGTACTAAAATCAAGGTTTCGGTGCTTACTTAAACATCGTGTATTGAATTATGATCCCATAAAAGCTGGTAAAATTATTTATAGCTGCGGAGTGCTACACAACATAGCACGCTTTTACAAAGATGAACTGCCTGATGAAGAAATCTTCGAAGAAGTTGATCAACACAACGACGATAACAATATTCCAGTCAACATTGTACATCAAGGGAATTGGCATATGAGAGGAGAAGTAGTACGAAACGAAATTGTTCATTATTTTAACAATAATAACTAGTTCATTTCTCCCTCGATTCTCTTTCCATGTGAATATACACTGTTGTAAGATGATCACAGAAAAGTTATAATCCTTGGAACATTAGATATACGTACATAGCATCAATAGCTCAGTAATTCACAGGTCTGCAAAACAAAACGTGGAACAATCAGTTTTATTATTCGTTTAACACATACTCAAGCCTCATCTTAGAAATAATCCTGTCCCATGTTGAATTGAAAGATAACTTTGTAGTTTTATTGGATAGTCAGTATTACTACGGCTTAATTTCCTTATCTTCTGTTAATACTTTTCAATGAAATAATCAAATTTAATGTCGGTTTCAACAAACACACATAAACATAAACACATAACCTAAAATTTACCACTGGAAACTGGAGGCGCCTGCGCCCAGCCCAGACCTACGCCTGTCCCATATGTTTAAAAACAGACAAGATAATTTCTGCACGCAAGCTTACTGTCCAAAAGTAATTCTACGCAGTCGCAAATTTAAAAATAAGACATTTTTCAAATTTAAAATAAAAATTTATTAAACAAAACATCACATTTTTTTCCCAACGTTGTTAATAGCCCTACCTAAGTTATTTAATGCTTTTGCAATTGCAAAATTTGACTTAGCTAGAGTCACTAAATGCCTATCGTGGGCCTCGAGAGCAGTATGTGCTCGCGCTTTCGATGTTTTTCGTTTTCTGGAGGCTGTCGGCGTCTTAGGCTCAGGTGTCGTCTCAGGTTCCTAAGAAAACATTGTATGAATGATTAACATAATATTTGAGTACAACGTTTATACCGTAGCGATGACCACAGGAATGTCGTCTAAATTAAAGCCCTCCTCTTCTATTGGTGGTGAAGGAGGGTCTAATACCTGAGCAGCTTCGGGGGTAACTTCTTCACAACTACCGTGAGCCTCCACTAAATCAACCCCCTCAATGGTTATTTTAGATATTAACGCCAACAGCCTTTCCTCCAATTCACTCAGGGGCTTCACAGAGGGACCACCCCCCGTACCTGTGAAGCCGTATTTAATCTCCCGAGCCCTGCGTTTCACATTTGTTTTCATCTCACTCACGGTCTAGGTATGATTAAAATGAAAAGTATTAACTAGAATCTTGTGTTTGTAGAAATGCCACTTACATCTTTCCATTGACGAATGGTTTTGGGGGGACCAATCTTATTGAGCTCGTTCGCGAGCGTCTCCCATTGTTTATTAATTTTTGGGAGATGGACTGGATTAATTTTACCCCCGAAAAGAACACTGTTGTCTTCTAGATAGCTGATTATAAAATTTTTCTGGATTTTTGTCGTTCGCGGTGAACGTGACATTTTGAGCGATTTCGAACTAACAAATGGCGCGCAAATAAAAACCCTAAATCACCCCAGGGTAACAATGGGGTGATGCAATGTTGCCAAATATTATGCGTCATATTTTAGAGGATACCTCTAAAGAAATTTATTTTTAACGGACCGCTTAAAAATGTTGTTACAGAATAGTGCATCTGCTAAATATTTTTAGCGGGCATCTAAAATTTTAACTTTTAGAGGACTTTAAAATTTAACAGATGGGTTACAGAATAGACCCCTTAGAAATGAAGAAGCAAGGTACTTGCTATATGAAATATGTTGCATTTATTTTCTTAAATACTAATTATTGTTAGACAAGCATACAATCAGATGAAAATAACATTAAGGGACGCGTCCAATCCTTTAACACTTCCAGAGAAAATTTTTAAATCTGTGTACAGAATTGCACGTGAAATTGTTAATGAATTGATAGAATTAATCAGTCCTTACTTACCTATACGAATTCTTGAAGAAATTGCGCTACCAGATCAATTAATTATTCTTTGTGCTCTACTTTTTTTTGCACAAGGAAATTATCAAAAATCTGTATCCCAAGATTTTAGCTTCTCAATATGTCAATCTTCTATTAGTAATAGTATTACTGCTGTGACGAATGTGTTGAATGAACATTGTTCACAATTTTTGTCAAATTTCCTTCTACAGAAGCAGCAAAACAGGAAGAAAAGGCAAAATTCATCAATTTATTGAATGAATATCCTGGAATAATTGGTGTTATTGATTGTACCCAGATTAGAATTTTTCCTTCTCCCATAAATAGTGAAAATTCAGGAATTTCATCTTTTTATTCGTAAAGGATATCATAGCACTCAGTTATTATTGCCGCCGATTTAAAACTTCTTGCTGTAAGTACGCGATATCCTGGGTATGATCCTGCCATTTGGCAGACCAGTGTTATTAGAAACCATTTTGTCACAGATTTTGAAAATGGACATAGAAAAAGCTGGCTCCTTGCTGATTCCGGTTACCCTCTTGAACCGTGGCTAATGACTCCTATTGGAGGAAGGGGTCACAATGACCAACAAAGAAATTACAAGGTGTCACATAAACACATCCGCAATGTAATCGAAAAGTTAAATGGAGTACTAAAATCCAGGTTTAGATGCTGCTTTTCTGAAAGTTCACTTCATTATTGGCCAGATAGAGCTGCTAGGATTATTAATGCATGTGCTATTTTGTATGATTTATGCATGACCCGCCAAGACATACCTCCAGAAGATCCAGTTGAAAATCAGAACATTGAAGATCATGAGAATGAAATAGATGCTAACATCGTAATAACCACTTTTACAACGAAGGGCAAAGAACGCAACAAAGAATACTTAATTGGTATTTTTAAATGCGATATAATTGTATTAATCGTTGAACAGCTTTACAAATTAACGCTTCTACAATTATTAAGAAAGTATGGGTAAATTCGAGCTTGAAGCAGTATAAGTTATAAATTTTGACAATTAATACGACAAATTTAGTGATTTTTGCGCGAATCATGACAATTGGCAGATCTCTCGCACGCCAAGTTTAGGCGCGTGGATTTTCAATATTGAAAATTTTCCAATATTAGGTAGCACAAACAAGGCGTGCATGGTGATAGACCTTTTAATTGGTTATTGAAATAATTCAATATCCAATTTCCAATATTGACTAAAAACCAATGTTCACCGTAATAGACCTGATTAGCGGTTTGGGCTGGACGTCAATCGCGACACTGCCTTTTATATATATACTAGCGGCTTCGCTCGCGTAGACGATTCGCTGATGTGTTGAAGAGTATTAATATCAAGTTCCCCGTAAAAATTTAAATTTACAGTAGAAATATTTTTTCCATACAAACTTCGCCACCACTTTTCACCCCCTAAGGGGTTGAATCTCGGAAAATGCTTAAATACGTGTTTCATTATGCATTAATACTTACTAAATTCCACGTCAAAAATTTTCAATAGAAGTAATTTTCCCATATAAAGTTAGCCACCACTTTGCACCCCCTTAGGGGTTGAATCTCGGAAAATACTCAAATAAGTGTTTCATTATTTGTGAAGAGCAATAGTCAATTAGCGAAACCACGTTCCGCAGAACGTACAGCACGCAAATCGTAGAAAAAACTGTTATATCTATGGAAACATGCGGTGTCCCTATTGGCGATTGTGTGCATAAAATACGTTGTACCGAACGTAATTTCGCTAATTGTCTATTAATACCAAGTTTCACATAAAAATGTAGATATACAATAGAAATATCCCAGACAAACCTTGCCTCAACATTTCACCCCTTTAGGGGTTGAATTTTAGAAAATGCTTAAAAACGAGTTCCATTATTTGTGTTGAAGAACATTAATACCAAGTTTCACGTAAAAATTTCAATTTATAGTAGAAATATTGTTCTTATACAAACTTAGCCGCCAAAAGTTAGACACCACTTTAACCGCCTTCGGGGTCGAATCTCCGAAAATGCTTAATTATATGTTTCATTGTTTCGTTATTTGTGTTGAAGAGCATTAATACCAGGTTTTAAATAAAGATTACCATAAAAATATTTTTGCCAATTTTGGGTTGAATATCGGAAAATGCTTAAATATGTGTTTCATTATTGGTGTTGAAGAGAATTAATACCAGGTTTCACGTAACAATGTAAATTTACAGTAGACATATTGGTCCCATACAAATCTTATCACCTCTTTTCACCCCCCTAGAGGATGAATTTCGAGAAATCCCTTCTTAAACGATGCCTCCAGCATAAAATGAACATTCTCTCCAAATTTCAACTTTCTAGCATTAGCGCTTTGGGCTGGGCGTTGATAGGTCAGTCGGGACATTGCCTTTTGTATAGACAGTAGTGACTCGATAGTCCGAATCAATTAAAACCGACCAGATTCCATTATCAGAGTATCCGAATTACCGAAGCCTATTGTTTTATCCAGTTTATTTTAAGCAAAAAGAGCATGAATTTATAGATTTTATTTAATTAAGTACAAATTATTTATTTAATGTTCACATTAATCATTATTGTTGAACAGGTTTCAAAAAAGTTGTAATTTTTTATTGTTGTCTCTTGCGTTGATGATTTTCGAAAACCATTTCATCTGTAGCGTCATATAACTGTTAATTGAACGGTGTTTTCAGGAGCCCATTTTAAAACAGTATTAATTGTCGAAGTTCCGACATCGTATTTGCAAGCCAACATCTTGCCGCTCACGCCACGATTTAACTGATCAATTATTAATGATTTTTCTTTGATTGTAAGTCTTTTATGCGAACGTTTTTGGGGTGCCATAGCTAACGACTAGACGGCTCTTACGCATTACTGTACATAAAAACTGCATTGAACTGGTTGAGATAAGTTGCAATTTCTTAACATGTATGTCAGGCGCTAGAACATGTTTCTTACATGTTTGTTTTTTTTTTTGTCCACAGAATCCACTATGTAATATTTTCTGCCACACTCGTGGAGTGCCAGTCCCCACGTATTTTCAGTTCTAGTATATCTGCTCTACCATTAACAAGAAGGGAAGCTGATGATGCAATAACGGACGGCATCTTGCGAATTTTATTTTCACCAACTGTGTGCACCGTACATTTTCTGGATACTGTATGTTGGGCTGCCTATTCGCACATTTCTATTTTTTTTTAAACCTAATTTTGTCTGCGTTAGTTGCGATTACATATTCGACGTCGTGTCAAGTTCCAATACAACGGGGTTATTTATTTTGGGACTCTCTGGTTGTATAAGTTTTCTTAAAATCAACGAGTCTTGATTCTTTTTTTACCTGCACTGCTTTTTTTCTCTCCATTTTTGGCGTTGTTGACGTTGTTCATTGGCACTTAAATAATGGATTTATAGTTTAATTCGCTTCTTTTCTGTTTCAGTATCGTTCTCTTTCCTTGGTCTTAAATTGTTCATATACTTTGTTTCTTTGTAGTTTTTCGTGAAGACATCTATTAAACAAATAATTGTAGTAAACTTGGACTAAAAGGCATCCACGTAGTCGACATTTTTACACTGTGGACGCCTGAATCCAAAGTCAAAGCAA